CTAACCCTAACCCTAACCCTGAACCTAACCCTTACCTTAACTTAAATCGCGCTTCCCTCACCTTAACTAAAATCGCGCTTTTGTGGGCGCGGTTTTATCAGCGCGTTGTTGTGGGCACGTTTATGACATTACGGTTTTCTCGCCGCGCTTTTGTCGGCGCGCTTTTGTTGTGCGTGCATTTGTCAGGTCACGCCAGAATCTCTTGCAACTATGGGTAGCATTTTAATATTTCTTTGAAACCTTTTGAGGACAAATGGACATTTCAGTGTGCGCATACACAAGGTTGCCTCAGTTTGCGCATTGTTTAAAGCTCTTCAAATTGATTCCATGGTAGCAATATATTATTATTTTTCTCAGCTGTAAATACAATTTTTCCACTTGAGAATTGACTTTTTCCCAGATTGCATATCCATCACCATTATTGTGCATTTACTTTCGGAACATAGTAATATAAAAATAATTTTTTAAAAGTTTTCCACAGCCTGATATTTTATAGCTTCTACACATGAGGCTACATATGAAGGGCACATGGTGGCTCAGTGGCTAAGATGCTGAGCTTGTCGATCAGGAAGGTTGGCAGTTTGGCAGTTTGAATCCCTAGAGCCCCGTAAAGGAGTGAGCTCCTGTTACTTGTCCCAGCTTCTGCCAACCTAGCAGTTCGAAAGCACATTAAAAATGCAAGTAGAACAATAGGGACCATCTTTGGTGGGAAGGTAACTGTTCCCTGTGCCTTTGGCATTTAGTCATGCTGGCTACATGACCAGGGAGATGTCTTTGGACAGTGCTGGCTCTTCGGCTTTGAAATGGAGATGAGCACCGCCCCCTAGAGTCGGGAATGACTACCACATATGTTCGTACCTTTACATATGAAGCTGTTTTTGAGGCCCTACAGTGTTTTTTTTTCTTTCTAGGTTCACACAAGCTAAAACTGATGTGGTTCTTTTTTAACAGGTTGCCTGTACATTTGCCTAGCTGTGTCAGAAGATTCTGGTACCGAAGGTCTGAGCTCAACTTCTTTGGCAGACTTCATAAAATTGTCCCACTTTAAGTCTCTGGATTCCAGCGAACAGACCAACCTAGAATTATCAGAGTCTGATTTTGGTCCTGGTGCCCTGCAAGTCTCACCTGGTTCAGGCTTTTTCAGTGAGGAAAAGGAAGACTCCAAGGTCCTCCAATCTCAGTATTTATGGGAAGAAGGTGGAGACAGCAATGATTCCAGTGTGTATATGGGGCCAGCAGCAGGTAACCAATCTTTTCACTATTTTCTTCTAAGTTTTGTTAGACTTTTTTGTTGTTAAAAAAAAAATGGGGCTTGGGGTTTTTAAAACAGCTTTTCCATGTATTTTTAGAGGGAAATTAATTTAGAAGTTTCAGGTCGGAAGTTTTTAGCCTTATCATCGTGGTGCAAAAGATTACGGTATTGACATAATGGTATAGTAATAATAATGGTATTGGAAGCTTCTGAGAAGTAAGTAATAGTAACCTGAGTTGCATTCCCAACTTTCTCTTAGAAAGGATCGTCCCACCTGGTAACCAAATCTGTTTCAATGCTAAATTCTGATGGAAATGAATCTAAACCTCCATTGCATTTAAGAATTCTTGGGGTTTATCAGTTTTCAAGTGGGACACTGTCTAGGAAAGTTACTTCAGGTACAGTTTTGCAGTTATTATGTAAATCATCTGAGTATAATTATGGTTTTCTCAGAAGTGGTATCATTATGAATTATTTTACTGGGTTTGATCCTTCTTGTTAAGAGGAATTTATAATTAAATCCAGCTGATATTCTTACTTGTTGTAATAAACCCTTAGGAGCAAGTGTTGAACAAATGCCTATGCATATCATGAAACCTTATAGGACAAAATTCATTCAAAAGAATCCAATGAAAGTGTTCTCTGCACAGAACAATTGACCCAATAAAACTACAGAATCTAAATAATTATAAATGCTTAGAATTTTTCCCCTTCTAAATTTTGTGCAAATGCAGCATAGTGATCTACTGAGGATTCTGCTAAATTTTGTCAGACTAATCTTATTACATTCTTTGACAAAGTGACAAAATTAGTGGACCAGAGGAATACCATCGATATAGTTTACTTGGACTTCAGTAAGGCATTTGATAAGGTAGACCATAACCTACTACACTAGATAAAGAAGAATGTGGGTTGGACAGCATCACCACCAGATGGATTCGTAACTGGCTGACCAACCGCACTCAATGTGCAGTCCTCAATGGAACTGCATCTATATGGAGGGAAGTATGCAGTGGAGTACCCCAAGGCTCTGTTTTGGGTACTCTTCAACATCTTCATCAATGATTTGGATGAGAGAATAAATTGGGACTAGGGGAGACATGATAGCAGTATTCCAATATCTCAGGGGTTGCCACAAAGAAGAGGGAATCAAACTATTCTCCAAGGCACCTGAGGGTAGAACAAGAGGTAATGGGTGGAAACTAATCAAGGAAAAAAGCAACTTTCCTGACAGTTAGAACAATTAATCAGTGGAACAGCTTGCCTCCAGAAGTTGTAAAGGCCCCAACACTAGAAGTCTTTAAGAAGATGTTGGATAGCCATTTGTCTGAAATGGTATAAGGTTTCCTTCCTAGGCAGGGTGTTGGACTAGAAGACCTCCAAGGTCCCTTCCAACTCTGCTATTGTATTGTATAAATCACTTGTTTGACTAAATCCCAAGAAATCTAAATCTCTTGGAAAAACTAAGAACTGTGGGATTTTTCCCCTCCTCTGTCAGCCTTGAATTGGCTTGATAATGAACTTTTGCCAGGATTAAATTACCTCCACCTGTGTTTCAATCAGTACCCATCTTTCTTCATTGGTCGCAATGTGAATAATTATCAGAAAGTTGAATGTTATCTGCAAAGTGGGCACAGGGGCCGTCCTGTTGGCCCTTTCTGCATTTAAAATGATCTGTATTTCTACTGGACTGTCCTGTCTCCCTAAGCCTATTTGATAGACTCTGTCAATAGTTCCATCTTAGTCTATGGAGAAACATCACTTATGTAAGTTTAAATCAAAACTAAAGTGTCAAAACCAAAAAGTCTAGCAGCTATTCATGTCACACTGGTAAGTAGTTGGGAAAAATCTGTGTTTGTCCTGTGAAATCCTATTTTAACCAGGTCAGTTTTAGCCTGTATGTTTAAGTCTCCCAGAACTAGCATTTAGGGATCTTCAGCTGTAGAGTATTGCCATCAGTTCAGGTAGAAAGACTCATGAATAACAAATTGAGCAAGACACTTTTAAAATCCAAAACACGTTGTCCTGAAAACTTATTATGGGCTACAAGTGGAGAAAAAAATGAATTCCTGTAGACTTCAACAATTCTCTCTCCCCAACCTCTAGATGTGTCTCAATGGCAAATTCAGTGTATCTCATTTTCAGTCCATACTAATAGATATAATAAAGTCATCTGCATGGGGAAAGGTAAATCAACATAGTGTGCAGCCCATTCTTTGGAATAAAGAATGCTTTGGGAAAAAATTGCAACCAGGAAACAAATTTAAAAACCTTTGATGAAAAGAAGACAATAGTGATATAACCAAAACGTCATGATAATGCTTTGTAGAAAATGAATGCATCAATGAAACATAGCAGTTGTATATCAAGTGCCAAGCAATATAAATAATGGAAAGAATTTGGCGCTAGGGGTTTTGAAAGAACATGGGATAATTTTATTGCCTCAGTCCAAGGACCATCTACTCCAGCATTTGTTATTTACAATGTCCAACTAGATGATTCTGTTCATAAGCAGGAGATGGAAATGTAATTCTTTTCTATCACTGTGGCTCTGGATGATACTCCCAACTCAGAGATAACAATGCATTTTCAGAATTAATGGCCCTTGACGGACCTTTCCTTTGTCAATTCATTTAATCCACTTTGAAAACCATCATCATATTTTTGACAATAAATTGCACATGTTAATGATGAAAGCTCTCACTGAGGACAAAAGAGTTACTTAAAGAAAGTAAAGCTGTGAAAGCCATTTCATTATCACTGACATTCGAAGGAAGAGGCATTGTTGCCTGTATATTAATTACATTGAGTGGGCATTTATAATTTTTCTAAACATTCTGATGATTAATCAAGGGACTGAGCAAATTGACTCTAGGTTCACTTACCTTGAGTTGAGCCTAGTCCTGAGTGAAATTACTTGGACAAAAATTTATCTTCTTCAATGAAGTTAACTCTTGAATGAGTGAGCAGCCTTCAAGCCTTTTTAAAATGTACTTTTGCAAAAAATTAAGTAATATATTCAAATTTTGCCCAGCAATATTTACATGCCATACTTTAGAAGACAAATTCTTATGCAGCAATGAATCCTTAAATGAATCCTTCGTTAAGAACTACAAGATTATATCTTCAATTAATTTAATCTAGTAATCTCATTTAATCTATTAAGTAAACAAAATAAAACAACCAGAATAAATTAATTGATATTAAGTAGAATACAATTTATTTATTTATAATGATGATCTTGAAAAGTAACCTTTTTTCTTTCACAGAAAGAACCATTTATAGCAACTAATATTCTTCTGACTATATTATTAAATACATATTACCTTATAATCAGACTCCAAGGTAACTGGAGTCCAGTTATATTTCTTTATGTATAGCATTATGCTCCAAAGATAGCTGCCGTTTGAAGAAGATATTTTCTTTGTTTTTGCCTGCTTTTTCTCTTTTGGTTTTAATGTTTTTATATAAAAATAATCAGTAGCACTGGATACTATTCTTGGGCTTGTAAGAGTAGGATATTCTTCTTTCAAAAAGATTCTTGACTGAAATCTCCAGCCAGTCTTGCATCTTGGAAAGCTGGTAAATAACACAGGATACCACTGACATAGCAGTCAATGTAGCTTTTCAATTTCAGTCTTTCTAATACAATGTACTATTTTTATTAAACTGTCATATGTCTGTTTTCCTTGGAATTTATTGCTGCTTCAGAAGCATTTAGTAGAAACTTTTTTTTAAAAAAAAAATCCAGCTATTCCAATGTTCCTTTTATTCACAGAAACCACTTCTCTCTTATTCTGGTTCTCCAGGGATGGGGAAAGTAGAAAACCAAAGTCAAGATGGTTGCCCCAATAGCCACATGATTGACCCCTCCCTCCATTTTTACATGAAACACACATAAAAAAGCCACAGAGTTTATGTCCTATAAGTCAACCACCGTTACAACTTTTCTGCTCCTCCCCCAGACAGCTCTGTTATTGCTCCATATAATTTGTAATCTCTTTTGCAAGAATAGAGAAACAATAAGCTATGAATTTTAGCTTAATAAAGGAAATTGTGAACAATACTGTGCAGGTGAACTTTCCCCATTTCTTCCCACTTATCCTTCCCTGTACCTAAGCAGAAAAAAGAGGCTTGGAGGAAGAGTTTAGACTGATGTTCAAATATGAGATGATATATGGGCTGTAGAAATTGAATGAATGAATGAATGAATGAATGAATGAATGAATGAATGAATGAATGATATATGTATATGTATATATGAATGCATGCATACTTGAGAGACCGCCTGCTGCCAATTACCTCCCACAGACCCATTAGATCNCTACCAGTTCTCCAGAACCTGTCAGAAGCTGCTGAACTTTACCCCTGCTTTAAATAATATGATCAGTATGCTTTGTATTATAAGTAGAGAATGCTTTGCCCTATCCTAGCGAGTATATGAGATAGGACAAAATATTACAGCAAGGGTATGTGCCTAGTGTGGATTAAATAAAATGTGCATGCACACATCACTTGCAAAGGTTTGATTTGTGAATAGTGTCTAGCGCTATAGATCAAAAGAGGCATTTTAGAAAATTGACTGAGATGGAATTGCATAGGAAAGGCTTGCCAGAAGGAGCTAGGGGGAAATTGCTGGAGTATTTTGAGAGGCAGAAGGAGAAACGGAGGTTAAACAGAACACAGGATAAAATAACACGTTGGGTATCTTGACCTTTTTCTTAGAAATAAATGGAGCAGGGGATATTCCAATTTCCAGGACTACTCCTGAGTTAGACTGAATGAATTGTCTTCCTGCAGTGTCATGAAAAAGCAGAAGCTACTTAATTTTTTCCAGATACAATTTTTTAAGTGGGGCTGTTTGTGGAATTTCTGCTATGTGGTTTAAGGAAACCTCCTCTGTTTATTTTCAGATTACAGTTTTCCACTTGCTTCTCAAAAAGCTTTGCCCAAAGAAAATGGAACACAAGCGAAAGACCCCCAAGGAGAACCCATGTTTCATCCCATCTCTGACTCTCTTGATCCAGACTCCGAAGCCCCTTCCACCAGAGTTCTGGAGGACGAGGAGGAAGGATTGCTTCCTATCAACCAGTCAAAGGGAATGACTCAAAGCAGCCAAATGTCAAAAACCACTTTTTCTGAAGCACCTAAAGAGGATTCTTTATATTCTATCCTGTTTTCCACCATGGCCAGCAGAATGGGTCCAGTAACTGAAGCAGCTACAAACAAGCATGGGAAAGAATCTGCGCATGAGTATTCTTCTTCAGGATTTGACTTGGGAAGCAGCATGGGACCCAGTCTCCTGCCCTTGTCTCCCATCTTTTCAACTGAGACTACTACAGACCCCCAATTGGTCTCAGAACTTCCTCCCAAGATTATCCAAGAGAGCTCAGAGGCTGCGATAGAAATAGCAGGGGGACAGTTAGCAACCGTAGCTGCAGTAGAAGATGATCTACCAGGAGGGAAAGCCACAACACAGGAGGAGATTCCAAAACCTGTGTCAGGAACAGTTGCAGCTGAGATGGAGCTGACAGGAGAAGATCTAGTAGGCTCTCATGAGGACAATTTCCAAGTAACTGAGACTGTTTCCAGGACTCCTAACAGCCTATCGGATACCAGCTCTTTGGACCATTTTTGGGACTGGACCAGTGGACGAGTCCCAACTCCAACTGCTAATCAGAATAGCCAGGATGAAAAACTGCCAATCATCACAACTGCTGCAGTGGAAAAGAGTTTTACAGCACAAAACAGAGATCTCCTGCTTGCCTCAGGAGTTCCCTGGAGTTTGACACAGGTAAGAAAATCATGTGTGGGCGATTGGGTGATAGATATTTAAACTTAGAAAACCCTGTTAAAGTCAGAGAAACAAACCATTTAACATGGTTTTATTTACATTCTTCATCCAGTGTGACTTGCCTATTAATTTCTTCACAGGTGGTTATTTTCATAACCAATACAAGCATGAACCAAAACCATAGTACTAAAGTGCCACAGATGTACAGGATCAAAATTCTATTTTAAAAAGCTGTAACATTTCTCCTATAAAGCGGCTTAAAACTAACTGATATTTAATTTCCAGGTTATCTTTCAGGCCCAAACCCTCTCAAGGTGGTATATATGATAATATGAATAAAACAAATGTTAAAATCAGTATACTGCAAGTGTTATAATAGCCCTCCNTTTCTGCTACTTTTCCATGTTAAACAATACTCGGCCGTAGTAGTACTATACTAGTCCTTCATAGACTAGAAGTCACTGATTCTTACTTCACCAGCTTTGGCCGTTAGACAAGAGCTGAAGCAGCAATATGATCCTAATTTGTTTTTATGTCTGAAGCTTGTGATTTCTGACTACTTTACCTTTGTTTGATTATTTTGCCAGTTTGCACAAAGGGAAGAACAAAATGCTAATAAAATGGCTGCCTTTATATACTGTACATACAAATCATTCATATTGTTGTTCAAAAGTTGGGATGTTAGTGTAATGTTATGATGCAATTGTGACCTATGGTGTTAAGCAGGCACATTTGAGATGCCCATTGACTGCATTGGACAGGGCTGAGCATATTCAAGGTTTCCTTAGAGTTTATCAGATTATCCTGCGCAATCTTGACCTGCTTTTTCAGGCCAGGCAACATGAGAAGGTGACCTTCTGTCTTTCTGTCCTCCCTGCTGCCTTCTTTGCTTTCATTTCATCTTAGTTGGTACCTCTCCAGCCTGATTCTAGTCTGGCACTAGAAAGTGATACATGTTCAAATGAAAGCAATACATCTATGAAGATTTCAGTCTGGGAGAATTCAGTCCCCGAGGTTATTCTGATAGTCATTGACTTACGACCACAATTGAACCCAAAATGTATGTTGCTGAGTGAGACAGCTGTTAAGTGAATCCCCCTCCCCCGTTTTATGACCTTCCTTGCCACAGTTAAGTGAATTGCTACTATTGTTAAGCTAGTAACACAGTTGTTAAGTGAATCAGGCTTCCCCATTGCCTTTGCTTGTCAGAAGGTCTCATCATAGCAATGGCCATAAATATGAACCAGTTGTCAAGCATCTGAATTTTGATCACATGACTTATGGGGATGCTACAATGGCTTAAGTGTGAAAAACAATCATAAGTCACTTTTTCAGTGTCATGTATGTATGTATGTATGTTATGTATGTTAAGAATGAATGTGCAGGTTGTACAACCATCATCTTTCCTAAAAAAAAAGAAAAGCTTTTAAAGTATTGCAATCATGCATGTTTGAACCTCCAAATCTTCTGTGCCTGTTTTTCATTTGATAAACTCAGCTGTCTGCTTCCTATTAGAAATATAAGCTGCTGCATATACTACACGCCTCTGTTGGCTTTAAAAATAGTTAATACAAAAATTATAGCACTGTAGCAAAGCTATAGGGTTAGTAGTTGCATCACATCCTCCTCACTCTAGATTTACACATCCCATTAAAGTATTGGCAAGCAACCTGGTGGCCTCCAATTGTTTAGACTAACATTCTTGCAGTCTTTTTCCATGGACCACTCTACGGAGACAAGGGAAGTTGAAGTCCAACATAAACGACTAGATGCATAAAGTGAGCAAAATAAAATGATTTGTTTGGGCTGATGCCTTTAAGAACCTAAACACTGTTTAAAACCAGGACACTAGAGTAAACTGAACACACCATAATTAAAGCATTGAATGAACCTAACTGTCTCCATTGAAAGTACCTTGGGCAAAAACAGCTTGAAAGTCGATAGATGCAGAAATAAACATTAAACAACCAACTTGATTAGACACTTTCTAATGGAAGAAAAGGAGTGTTTTTTTCAGTCTCAGGTAGCCAAGGGAGCCATCATTAAACTGGAGCAAATATTATCTTAATAGTTTTCAATTAGAAATTCATGGACAGGAGAAAGGATACATATTGATGTTTTGAGAAACCAACAATCTGCAATTTGTTCAGCTTTGACAACATAAATTAAACAGGAAATTATAAATGAAACTGATCAGATGAGGGGGTGGGGAAGGAAGTATGTTCCTTTTTAGACTTATTCCTAAATTTTCAAACCATGATTTGGAATAGGAGAAACACTTTATCTGTGTTAACTCTATTTCTCAGTGACATTTCACTTTCTTAATTAATGCAACTTATTGAATTATTCAACAGATTTCTTTTTAAAAATTTATTAGAAACCTGCTGCTTATCATCTTACAGTGAATGAAAAGTGGTTCTAAATGAGAAACTTCAACTGGGCTTTTGTAAGCACATAACTTATGTGCTATTATTACAGTAATCAATTCAAGACTTCCAGCAGACTTCCACCAGACATATGAGTAGCTTTTCATTGTTCTGGGAGGAGGTTGAATGAAAAATAATTAGATTATTTAATATAAATGTTTCTGTGTGTGTTAACCTTAGACTGAAACTAATATTCTATCTAGATCACTAAAGTTTGAGAGGTGGTTTGCAGTAACCCAGAACTGGGGCTAAAGGGGTTATACAAATTCAAAATAAGAGAATTCTGACAAAAAATATATATATAAATTGAAAACATAGAAAGGTTCTTTATAAAAATGCATACAGTAATCAAATGTGCCTGTTTTGCAATGCTTTTGGTTAATGGAGAGTAATGGTGGCTTCAAGTGAGGTCCTGGAAGTAAAGTCTTAGATGTACTATTAGGCAACGACTGACTGGCCCCAGCTACTCCACTCTACTTCTCCCAGGAGTCTCCATGCGGCCCATTCACCATGACAGGTAAGTGCAGGGCCTGTGAGGAGACTCTAGGAGGGTGCAAAACAGGCCTTTCAGAAGTCTGGAAATGGGCCCATTTCCAGCCTTCGGAGAGCCTCTGGAGCCAGCGGGAGGCCATTTTCACCCTCCTGGAGGTTCGGGAAAAGCCTTCAAAACCTGGGGAGAGCAAAAAAAAAATGGGCCTACTAAAAGTCCCAGAAATCCAAATATGGACCTGTTTCCAGCCTCCGGAGGCCCTCTGGAGCCCAGGGGGAAGCCTCCCTCCTGGAGGTTCAGGAAAAATCTCCTGGTGTAGGAGGCTGAGTAGGCCACACCCACCCAGCAAATGGGCAGAGTCCATTTTTCAATCCCACCCCTGCTATTAGGCAATGATGAAAAAGACTAAGCTTCACCTCCCTGGTATATATCCGAGTGAAAATCTCGTGCAAAATAAAAATGGGATATTGAGGAAGAGATGAACTAAGTTTTCTGGCTTGTGCACTGGGATAGATTATTATATACAAATCGGATGCAGGAAAGCATATCTTTGTTTTGTCTGGCAAAACCCTGCACCTTTCCCGTATTCACAGTCTCAAGATCTTCTCATCTGTCAGGTATAAGCTTTTACAACCAACTGGGTTATTTTGTCTTTTGCTGAGTCACCCGTTGAAAGGAGAGCCTTGAATTTCAGAAACCACATGTGAAAGCAGGCTGTCTTGTGTAACTGAGTGTGTATTGAATTCACGACAGGAAAATTTAAATTCTATAACCCCATGGAGGTTGTAGAATTCTTCCAAATACTGGATACTTCTGCTGCGATATTTCCATTGTGTTAGACCTAAGTGTTGCAGGTATATATGAAAACAGGACAGTTAGTCCTTCGTAGGAGCATTATCTTGCTTTCTGCAATGAATCAAGGCTGTGCTGGACTAAAGGTAAGAAAACCAAGAGAAGCAGAGGCTGAATGTAAAAATGTATTTGTCTGGAACATTGCAATAATTCCACTATGATGGTGGCACTAATACAGATCTAAACCATAGGAATTAGTAATTCTGTAAGTATAATGGCAATCTTAATGAGGCAGGCTCTTTACTTTCCTAAGGCTAGATGATTCATGGGCTAGCCCAGAGGTGGTATTCTACCGATTTGGACTGGTTCACCTGAACCCGTAGTGGGAATCGCGGATGGCCCCGCCTACCCTCCCCGGCTCTACGGCATCCCCTTTAGGCCCTTTTTTCATGAAAAGCACATGCATGGCAGGGTCACATTTACGAAGTGGTAGGGAGGGTAAGTAGATACCACTCCTGGCCTAGCCCCAACCTATCATGGGGTATTGAAACTGAGTACAGGTAGTCCTCAAATTATAGCCACAGTTAAGCCCCAAATTTCCATTACTAAGCAAGACTGCTGTTAAATGAGTTTTGCCCCACTTTGCAATCTTTCTTGCCGCTTTTGTTAAGTGAAAACACTGCAGTCACATGGTTGTTAAGTGAATTGGCTTCCCCATCGACTTTGCTTGTCAGAAGGTCACAAAAGGTGTGAGCCCAGGAGATTGCAACCCCATCATAAATACAAGTCAGTTGCCAAGTTTCAGAATTCTGATGCTGTAACTATGTTGCAAGTGCAAAAAAAATCATGTCACTTTTTTCAATGCCATTCTAATTTCCAATGGTCACTATATTGGTTGTAAGTTGAGGACTTTCCAATAGTTGCAAGTCAAAGACTACCTCTGTTAAATTCATTATTTAATTTAAATTAAATTGAATATGAAATTAAATTAAGCACTTTCTGGTTTAATTAATTTCACTTCAAAGGAAGCATTTAATTGTACAGGTAGTCCTTGATTCATCACCACAATTTCCATTGCTAAGCAAAGCAGTTGTTAAGTGAGTCATGCCTGATTTTATGACCTTTTGCCACAGTTGCTTAACTGAATCACTGTAATCATTAAATAAATCAGTTTGCTTGTCAGAAACTGGCTGAAATCATGATTA